AATTTGTGATAGCAAGTACACTCAAAAATGATAAATGTAAGTGTTCCAGAAACTGTCAATTTGAAGCTATTGGTAATTGCATTGTATAAAGTATTCTTTCTTACGAGACAAAATTTACTATAAATTGAGACTTGCATCACATGCGTTGAAATGTCCGATGAAACAAATCACCGCAAAATTATACCATTCTTCACCAAATAGTAGTCGATATAATCATGTGAATGTCATCTTTAAAAAAATATAAAACTTTTAGAAAGAGAAATATACTCTTAATTTAAATATCCCCAAAACACTTACTTTCCATGCTGAATCTGTCTGAAACCAATCTTCTATTTTATTTTTGAAAGTCCATGGTTCCTTTCCACGAAGTAACACATAGAAAAATGCTGTGTATGGTAAGCCAACCATCCATCCGAAATAACTATTGAAAGAGGGACGAATATTACGCATTTGTTGCATCTCTTTGATTACATAGGTTTTATACAATTTCGGCTCAAAATCTTCCGGAATTACTGCTGAAAAATAAACAATTAAATTTAAATTAATTGCTGCTGTGTATTAGAATACTTAATTGGACAAATTTTACTTCGTGTTTGCGGGCCTAAATCCTCGACTATCGTTTCCGCTGCAACCATACCACTTTTCATTGCATTATGAACACCTTTAATCTTTGCTGGATTCATCAGTCCTGCTGCGCAACCAACTAAACATGCACCGGGCACAGTGAGTTGTGGTACAGCTTGATATCCCCCCTCGTTTACTGTTTTAGCACCATAAGCAATCCGTTCGCCTCCCTCAAGATAATGACGAATGGATGGATGCGACTTAAACAACTGGAATTCCTGAAAGCAAATTTTCAAAATGTTTTAGTAACATTAAAAAATTAAAGAAAATTTCGAAATCATAATATTAATCAAATAATATGCTGCTTCTTATACTGCATTTATTTCATGGTAAATTAAACTAGATGTTACCTGATATAAATTTTTGTACGGATTCTTGTAATCTAGGCCTATTATGAGGCCAAGAGAAACAAGAGGCTGTCCATTATCTTCAATGTGATACATGAATGACCCACCAGAGCTTTGAAGATCCTGAATATATTGTTAACGTTTTTTCAAGTTGATTGTAAGATATCTTTAACAGTTATAGAAATATTTTAATAAAAAGTCAAACGCACTAGCGGATATCCGATGGTGTGTTCCACGTAACCAGGAATGTGTTTTGATTTATCAATTAACCATAATTCTTTGAAACCAAGGCCATAAGTCATTGGAACACATTCTTCTTGCAAACGATACTAGAATTGAAGAAAAAAAAAAGTTATTTGAAATGTATGAATAAACCATATTCTTACAATCCAGAATTACAGCACAAAAATTCACCTTCTCCATTAAGAAACTGGTAAGATGGCCACGGCAGCCTTCAGCAAATATTGTACATTTTGCTTGTAATTCCATGCCTCGTTGAAAACTCTTCTAAAAAAGATGGAAAGACACACTTATACAGAAAATACGAGATAAAATTTCCCTTGTTATAACACTTCTTGTTTAGTAACTTCAAACTTTTGTTAACTGCTTAACAAATCTGCATGTAATATTGTAATCCTTCACTTATTAGCCTTCGCAACTGATATTTCAGATTCCAAAATTTTCACCGTTCATAGTCTTTGTTTGATCAACAGTTACAAGTAATCACCAAAATAAAGAATTCAGAAAACAGCACATACTTTTGGAGCACCATCCTTCATTATTCCAACGTCAGCTGTTGCAATGCCTTTTACACTTTCATCTTCATGAAATAGAATTTCCTGCGCAGCTATTCCCGGATAAATTTCTACTCCCATTTCTACTGCTTTTTCGCCAAGCCACTTTACTAGGCTGCCTAACCTGTATTTCAAAAATTCAAGGACATTTTATAAAATCCTCCAAATATTTAAAATCTTAAAAGTAATCACAAATAAATATAACTTACCTGATAATATAATTTCCCGTATTGTCAAGTGGACTTGCGCGCACGAACGGTAAAGCATATCGACCATTTCTCGTTAAAATCGCCATTGACTGAGACTACAAAACATTGGGACGAGAGTGAAAAATTTTCTCAAAAAAACCAAAAGAATTGATTGTAAATAAAAGAGTGCATACAGTAACTTTCTGATAGACGGGAGCATCCATTTCTTTCCAATTTGGAAAAAGTTCATCCAAGGCTCGAACATCAATTACTGCACCAGACAAAGTGTGTGCACCAACTTCAGCTCCTTTCTCAACCACACAAACACGGATATCTGAAAACTACCACGGTCAAAGGTTGAAAATCCAGAAGTGAGATGTTCCAACGTACCCGCATTGTTATCTCCACTGCTCACGAATTGATAAATCTATCCCAAATAATCGACAAAAGTAATAACAATGTAAGCCCAGTAATAAGAAAATTCAAGCAAAATCCAGAATCGATGATATTGTACAGAGAATGAAAATTAAAAGTATCAATGATTAAGAATAAACTCAAAATAGTGCTGATATGAAAGGAAAAAAAAAATTCATTAAAAAGACGAAACTAACCAATATTTTTGTCTTTCGAAATTTGCTTAAAACGAATAGCCGATGATAAACCAGCTGGTCCAGCACCCACAATGACAATATCGTAACTTTCCACTTCTCGTTTCATATCGACTCTCGCCCAACGAACATCCCTTTCCCTTGGACATTTCAAGTAGTGTGTAGTGACCCATTGACCGTTTACCACATGTCGTAAGCTCTTTCCTACTTGTAGAGCGCATCGTAACGTTGGATGCATCCGTTTACTGAATTTTAGATGAAAAATGAAATCGAAAATATTCGCTTACAGAATTAAATATTTCAAAGGCTATATAGCACAAAATGAATGTTACAAATAGAAGCACAGTTGCTAACAAATTTTTATCGTTTATTTATTTGCTTATTGATAGAGAAATATGGAGAATTTGTAGGGAAGTGCGTGGCATAACGCTTTTAACAGAGAGGTATTGGGGATCTTTCTCCTCTGTGCTACTTAGCATGTTAGAAAACTATCATGTCCCGTTTTTCACGCTGTACGTTTGACGCTGTAAGAGCTGTTGTCACACGTTTGAAAAAAGACTCAATTGAATTTCCAATCGATCGAATGCACTTCACTGAACACTTCGTCACTCCCGCTTGACAATATTCAGCTGCTACTGCTGACAAAACGTAGATCTCGCAGCTTTATATAAGAATGTTGTGTGGGTAGGTTTTGGCGGTGCGGTTCTTTCCTCCTCCCCCGCACTTCCTCGATATCTACGTTGGTTCGGTTCACGACTTTAGGTAGAAATATTTTCATTTTCTCTATCAAGTCTTGATGGATTTATGCTTAATTGCTCGTTACAGACTAGTAAGGTCAATTTTGAAATGTTGAATAATTTTACGTTCTAATTTAAATATAAATGTTTGACACTGAGTAACGTGTAAGTTTTGCTAGGTCATACTAGCATAAATTATGTGATGATGTAATTCATTTACAGATTAGTTTGTTGCATTTGATTATTTATTTCATTTGTACAATATAAAATTAATGGCGGCACGTCGACGTGGTGTTGGAGTAGGTGCGGTACAGCAGAAGAAAGATCTTCAGGTTCCCGTCCTGTTTATTTTATCATTATAGCCCGCATTGTTAGATTGGTGAATCTTATTTATTAGTTTAAAATTGTACTATCAAAGAAATACCAATATTTTCAGGCAAAATTCCAAGCCAAAGGTAACGAATTAGCCAGCGAACAGTTAAATCAATTTTCTCAGGAACTTGCTGTTTTCCAGACAAAGTTAGAGGAATTTGCTCACAAACACCGCGATGAAATTCGTCGAAACTCTCACTTTCGACGACACTTTCAGGATATGTGTGCCTCAGTTGGTGTTGATCCACTTGCTTGTAAGTTTATAGTCACTGTCCAGAGCAATTTAAAAAAAACGAAGAATTCATGTTAAGATGTTGTATTTGCATTTCCATCTTATTCATCGTTTTTTAAAAGTAGGCTATAAAAATTGGAATTCATTTTTTATTCCTATCATCATGATACTTTTGTATTTATTCAGTTCTTCATCACTGTTAATCATGATTTGGTAGCCGTAATACATTTGAGGCGCTGCAAAGCTTTATTTAATATTTCAGTTTTGATATGTATTTCCAAGATGTTAGAAAGTATTCTGTTTGTTGTGATGAGAACTCAAAAACACAGCGTCTTGTAAACCTAGATGATTTAAGTTCCAGACTGGATTTAAAGCGTAAAAATTAGCTGAAAAACAGAAGTTGTGATTGAGAGTTTTGGTACTTTAAGTTGGAATTAAAATTTTTGCTATTTTCTCTTAGGAAAAGTTGTTAAAATTGTCTTTTCTAGCTAGTAAAGGTTTTTGGGCCGAGAAACTTGGTGTCGGTGATTTTTATTATGAATTGGCTGTTCAAATTGTTGAAGTTTGTATGTCAACCAGTCATATAAATGGTGGTGTTATGACGATAGAAGAATTGAGAAATCGGCTATTACGTTCACGAGCACGAACACGACGAGACGCTGTCACCACGTATGAGTTTCGCTATGATTTTTGAGTTAATTGTTTAGAGTGAAAACGATAAAATAAGGATATTGAACAAAAGTCGGCAGTAGAATTTTGAGTTTGATTTTGAATAATAAAAGTTTGAATAATAAACTTATAAAGTGATTGGTCAATATATCAGGTAAATTTTTCTTAAGATGAACTTTGTGTACGAACTTAACAAGGTGCAAATAATTTCTTTCCAATATTTGAACTGCACTTTTTAAATTTAGAGATGACATTTTACGTGCTGTCGATAAATTGAAAGTACTTGGTAATGGTTTTGAACTAATTGCTTTGGGAAGTGGACGATTTTTGGTACAAAGTGTGCCTGGTGAACTCAGCATGGATGATTCACGGGTTTTACAATTGGCTGAAGATGCTGCTTATGTAACCAAAGTAAGTTTTATTGAAAATTGTCTTATTATTTTTCTCCTGTTGGTGGTTTGTATTTTTGTGCAATTAATAGTATTTCTATATATAGAAGTAGAACCCAGTTTTATTTACGAATATAATATTTATTTTCTGAATTTGGTCCAAGATTTATCTTTTGCAGCAATGAGTCAAATTCGCTGGACAATCTGAAATCTTTAAGATCCACTTATTTTCAGGAACTCATTATGGATCGATTGCGCTGGGATGAACGACGTACCGACGTAGTGCTGGAGCATTTAGTGAAAGAAGGCATTGCCTGGATTGATAATCAGTCAACAGACACTATCCAGTATTGGATTCCAAGTCTTTTTCTACAGCAGCATAGCCATTCGAGTAGTTCAACTAGTATATCTGACAGTATTGCATCAACTCTTTATTGACGAAATTATAATTGCAAAAAAAAGCAGAAAGCATATTCTGCTTAATTAGAAATATTTGCTTTATAGGGCTGTCATAAATGAACATGTTCCACACTGACAGATTTTTAAAACTCTTTTTGTTTAACTATTGAGTCTGTGATCTCGCTGTGATTTCTTCATAGATTAAAGTGTAAAATAATTGTATTACTGATGTAAAATTTTTATATCTTGCTCTGTGATATGTGATAATAGTAGCATTTTTTTTATTTCTAATTTTAATGATGCATGCAATACATGTATCGACAAATTTTCTTATTATGTCTAGCAACAAATTTTTCTACATTATTAAGTGATAATAGAATAAAAAATATTGCTGGAAAATGAATAGTGATTTTCTATTATATTTGTCAGCTAATATTGCTGATAACGTTGGCTTATTTATTTGAGCCTTCTGTCAGTGGATCTCGTGTCAATCAATGTGAACAGGATTTGATTTGTGTTGAAAATATCGTACATTTTGAGCTTGTAACTATTCCATAATCGGAGCGCTATTCCAGCAACCATTTTAGTATTTGTATAAATTCCCTCTGTTAGTAGTAACATGAGAAAGAAGCGATGGAATTTTGGTTCGAGTTCAAGAGTTGATTAAGTAATACACATATCTTTGAGGTATCAATGATGTTCTTCGTATCTGGTGTGAGTATCGGCCTCACTTTGTTCATAGTGTAGTTTAATTTTGATATTGCTTGGGATAACTTAAACTTAGGCATTAGAGAGAGCAGTTGCGCGAAGCGGTGCGATAAAAGTAGTATCGGGTCAAAAGCAACAGTTCGGGTAGTTGATTAAAGCATCATATAATTAAGCTCCTCGCCAGATAACCGAACTCCGATTTTCCTCCCTTTTCGGTAATTCCTTTTTTTGTTATTCTAAAACACAAATACAATTTATTATTATTAGTCATTTTGACAAAAATAGAGCCATTTTTATTACACTAAAAAATTGTAATATGCTCAAGAAAAGTTAAAGAAATACAAGAATTAAATTCTAAAAAAATTAAGCTCTTTCAGTACAACAATCGTCAATAGTATCATCACAAGGGTTGACATATTTCCTGCCTATGAAAGTTTCAAATGAAAAACATTTCACTTTGCTGAGAATATAATTGATTTATACAACTTTGTCAAGTTTATCGATAATCAATAGATACACGAAAATATTCTATCTTTTGTAATGCAATCAAATCACATAATAATGTCTGAAGAATTTTTGCTCCTAATTCATTGTCTGAAGAATTTTTGCTCCTAATTAGTTTTTTTTCGACGAAGAATTAAGTGAAAGATTACGGTTTGTAGCTCTATCTCTTTCTCAATCTCTCCTTTTCTTTCTCTTTCTCCAATGAAATCATTTTGAAGATGCCGATGAATGTGTTACCGTTATTGGGTTACATCATCCTAGCTTAATCTTTCTTACCTCCAGTTATTGTAACATATAATTCATTAATCATTCCTAGCAATTCAAGAAATCTTAATTTATCAATTAATATTAGTATAATTACGATACTAAAGTCAATCTTTATAAATTAAAAAGACTATTATCCATCTGAAAGATTTGCAGGTGGTTAGTTTACTTTTACACCAAATATGTCTTTCTCTCAATATACAGTACAATACAAAATTTTCAATATTTAACCGCTACATTATATTCGGATATTATAAGAGAGAGGGAGAGAGGGAAAGAGAGGAAGAAGAAAATATACTTTGAATTTCTTCAACATTTTCTTTCTCTTCATCTTCCAATGAAGATTGAAATTCGGTATTTGCTACCGTATTTCACACATCAGATAGATTTGATCATAAATCATCAATCAATAAACATGAATTATATCAACAATAATAAGCCCGTAAATTTAACATAATTTAGGATAAATAATTTTCTCGAGAATTATTATTTCAATGATATATCAAGAAATTTGTGAAATATTTAAATATAAGGAGGATTATGTGTTACAAGTGATGGGTATGGTACTGAAAAATGATGCCATAAAGTGCTATAATTCCACATATTCGGTAGATTTAATGTAGGAAAAGTTGATGAATTCAGAAAATTTTGTTGTTCTATAGCTGTTGATGATTTTTGTAAGTTTGAAATACTTGCAGGAAGAGTATTTTCAGAATCGCTAAGAGTGCTAATAGAGGAGTTGGAATTTGTTAAAGAGTTTTGTTGATTAGCAGAGAAGTGATAGTTAGAAGTATTAGAATTCGATGAACCTGGTGCAATGGGATAAGTTGTTGTTGCTAAATGATTAAAATTAGATGATGATAGCAAATGAATTGAATGTGAAACATGTCCATGTCTTTTATCATTTGAAAAATACGATGATCTATTCGTCCAGTATGGTTTATATTTATTTAAAGGACTGATAGATATGCGCAACGTATGATCATTTGCCAATGGAATGGTACCATCATTGGTATCTATAATACTAGAAAATATTAATTTATTAAATTCTACGATTACTGTAAGTTTATAAATGAATTTGCTTCTTTTTTTTTTTCAAATGTTCTGTTGAGAGAAAATGTTAAAAATTTTAATTTCTTTACAATCAAAGGATATCTAATTTAATTCACACAAGATAAAATTATTATTGAATGTTTTAAAATTAATAAAAATTAGAATCAAACTAACCGATAGTTGAATTATTATTATTTCTCGTGATACTACCACGTTGTCCACGAGCATAACTATTGTGTATCTTCTTCATTTCTATGATCCGTTGATTTTGATATGCTGTAACAGCTATGAATTCCATAATTTCGTCAGTAAAACTCTTCACCAATTGATACTGATTAGTCAATATTGTAGAACCATCAAGACATAATGCTGGTGCTGCATAAACTTTATGTATGTACAGAATGGGATGATATTTATGCATGGAAGTGAGAAGTACCTGCAAAAATGATACGTCAGATCACGTCCTACTTATATAACGTCTTCCTTCTTCCACTTACACTAGGATACGATATTTTTGTAATCATGAAAGAAATAATAACTTTAATATGAAACATTTAAAAAAGCATTGACAATTAAATCGCTACAGAATGATTTTTAAGATTATCAAAATGCTTAAACTGTATACTTATCATACTGTTTCGTTTTTGATTGGATCGTGAAATATTAATATTGATTTCTAAGATCACCAAATTATCAAAATGCTTAAACTGTAATTTTTTCCTTTTTGATAATCTCCAGTGATATTTCTCAAAAGAATAATCTAGTCAAAAAAAATGAATTAGACGGGGTGAAAAGCAGAAAGAGAGAGAGATGGAGAGAGTGGGAGAGAGAGAGAGAGAGATGTGTATCAGTTTGACATCCTCACCTAATGTTTGTCATATCTTTGTTATGAATCTCTGTAAGGCGCCATTGTTGATTTCTATCAGTAACTCCAATATTCATGGAGATATTCATTATATGTCATTTAATAAACACTTTACAACACATACATCTGTTCAAATTGCTCATATTTGATGGATTTATTTGCAAAGTGACAATGATAAGGTGGGAATGGATAAGGTGAAAGTTGACAATTGAAATATTTATCGCTTTATGTGCAGATGTTTGTATAAATATTCTAAAAATTGATTTATATATACTTGTATTTTTACAACTTTTTAATGATTGAACCTTCAAATAAAGTATATTTATCCTCTTTATTTATCGTTCTGTTTCTTTTTTCAATGAAAAAATGATAATAATTAAAATTAATTACTTAATGATAAATAAGTGAGTGTAAATATTAGCAAAATTAAACTAACATTTGAGGAACAATCTTTGGTACTATTCGTAATTTTAAGTTTACCAAAACGGATGCCATTATTCATCCAGTATTGTCCAAGTTGTGTTGATCCATTATCTGGATAAATATATTTTGCTTCACTTTCAGGATCTCCCGTAGCAGTCATATGCCATTCACCAGCTGTATACTTGTATCTTAATTAATAAGCTAATTAAATTTTATTGAAAAAAAAATTTTTTTAAATTTATTCCAAAAGACAATTTGAATATTTTGTAAAAAAAAGATTTCTTCTTTTTTTAAAATTTCAAAAAAATATTAGTTGAATTTTTGACAATAATAATATTTTCTATTTGCAATTACATTAATTTATTTCTTTACAATTATTATTAACACAACAATTATCAAGTAATAATTAACCTGGCGCGATCAGTTCGACATATTTTAAGACATATGAAATACATTGTTTTCGGCTCTAAACCTTCCACAGAATATCCAATTCGAGGATAAATACATCTGAAGATGATAAAATAGACATAGATAATATATTATTAAAATTTTGTAATTTAATCTTAAACCGAGAATTATTTTGAAATGTCCATTCTTATCAGAATATTTTTTCACATACAAAATCATCGATTAATTTATTTTTCCCTTCAATTCTCGTATATTTTTTATTAGACTTCTACCAAAAAAATATACACAACATAACCTTCCTTTACTTGTGAGGATCATTTCGTTGTTGTTCCGATGAAATTCTTCCCATAATTTTCGATGTGATATACCAATGCGAATCTTTCCGTTGCTCATAGTTAATTCTTCTTTCTGCTGTACAAGAATTTCATTCATCAACCTATCATATTTAGATTTTCTTCTCCTAATTCTAAAATTTAAATGCATAGATCTCGTGTTATCTTATCATTTATCAGACTTTTACAACCTATCGTAGCCAGAATATCATCACACTAATGTAGCAAAAACACGCTATTGATTGATAAGTTACAGTAAAATGATTTCGTAATACATCACATAAAAGATCACTCTTTTCGAACGATTACAATTCTTTCACTCAAAAATCCAACATGACATTTATTTTAGTAATGATATATTCTCCCGAGATTTCAACCTTTCAAACTCTAGCTCACTTCATACCCTTTCTCGAATTTTAAATTTTTTGAAAGAGAAAATAGAAGAGTAAAAGACTCATTAATCAGTAAAAGATTATATATTTAGATATATGTAAAGAGCGCATGAAAAATTCCAAATATCACAGAGAAATCATCTTAAATTTGTCATCGCATTTAATTTGCCTAATTAATGATTCTTAAATGTACAAGTAAAATAAATAAATCTGGAATTGAAATAAGTAAGTACCAATCAAAAGAGAGTTGTAACTCTTAAAAGAATTCGTTGTTGCATATTGTACATATTAACAGTTTTACGACAGAACTCCACCTCTTCGTGGTAATCTGAATGGTGCAAATGGAATGGTGTGAAGTTGGCATACGGTAAATATCTGTTTGCTCATATAAGATAAATATAAAATAGCACAACGTATTATTGGTAACTTTTAATTTTAATGGAAATTTTCGATTTTAAAGAAAAATTGGAAAGAGATGAGATAAAGCAGAAAAATTTTGAAAATAAAAATTAAATGATTGTTATAAAACCTATCAAAAGAACTTTTCAGTCGAAGTAATTTTCATTAATTCTATTATCAATTATTAATTAACATATTTGATTATCCTTCTCCCCAAATTAAATGAATCAACTTTTGCCTTATATGAGTGAATTATGAAAAGGGCTTCATTCTTAATTGCTATTCATATTTAGCTGATATTGGAATAATCGTCAGCTAAAAATTGTATTTCAAAATTGAATTTTATTTTTTTTCCCAAATTTGAAATAATCAAAAACAAATTATCTGATCAATCTATTAAATTATTATTTTTGTACTACAACCAAGTTTTATTTTTCTACTTCTTGTTAGTATTGATTTTATAAAAGGATATAAATGAATTATAAATTTTTTTGGAATTTGAAAAAAAAAAAATGATATTCGTTGGCATTTTTGCACAGTATAATAAAGGTAAAAAAGAATTTGATAGAAATATATATGACAAATAACGGAACGGTCCTTTTGTAGGTATAGGTGTTATTTTCTCCTTTTGTAATTTATGACAGAAATACCACAAGGATTTTTCATAGTCCGCCAAAGAGCGGCAATGTGTTTTTACGCCAGTAATGCAACAGATTATCAAAAAAGAAAAAGTGCGCAACTGTTTGTTAATGACCGATGACAGCTTAGTAATGACAAAATTTTTATTCATTCCTTTCTACTATTTATTTCGAGTAATAAAAGTGATATTGAACTAATTAGCGTCATGTTTTGTTACCTTAAAATGAAATTAATTAATGAAGAAAGTTCAACCTTTCTTTTAAATATCCTTTTTTTTTGTCTTTTTTCTCTCTTCTTTAATTTCACCTTTTCATTCAACTTTTTTAATTTTTGCCAATTTCAAGCTATTTGATTTTTTCTTTCTCTTAAATATAGGATTAGTAAAATTGAAATTGATTAAAGGTTAAACCAAAATGTGATGTTAAAGAAATGAAGAAATCTTACAAGCTCTTCTCCAAGAAAATAAGTATATTTGTAAAATTATTTCATTGTGATAAAAATTGATTGAAGAAAGAATACGAATAATAGTTATGTTTGCACAGTGAAATTTATTTCTAATTAAATTAATTAATCAAATGAAAAATTAAAACAAAGTTTTTTCGTCTTGCGAACACTTATTTGATATTTTTTAATAATAAATGTTCATAAATTCTTTTTAAACGAGTGTCAAAGTTCAAACTAATGCTTTTAAAATGCTTATTTATGAGATTTCAAATTACAGTAAATGTTTCATGCTAAATTCTTTTCTGAAATTTCGTCCTTATTTCATTCATGGAATTTATGACGATTTCTATTCAGAATACAGTACTTCACAATTCTCGAGAATCTGCGGAATGGAATAGCTTATGTGGTTTACCATTAGCAACAACAGCATCTTCATCCCATTTTCCGCTTCATTAGTGTATTAGTTTGATGCGACATGAAACATCATTCTATATTTCAATTTGTTTATCCATCCGTTACAAATAATGCTTATTGGACTAAAAGTCCTTTTGATCTCTGCTTCCTCTTCAAAATATTTTATCGTCACGCGACACTTATTATCACAGTCGGTGGCCTCTCTTTACTGTTCATTAACGCTTGTTATCAAGAGTTTATTACCGTATACAAACGTTTGACATATGGAACATATTGCAAGTTCTTAAAAAATTTTTTTATCCATAATGGTAATTATTTGATGATTGAGACAATCAGATAAGCTGGCGCCTATCAATCTGCTCTTTTTGAGTAAATTTATAGATTCGATCATCAATTTACTGATGTGATCGATGTTGTGATAACAGGAAAGAAGCTTTGAAATTCCTTTATAGCACATTATTTTTCATTACTCTCACTTGTTGATACCTAAATAACAAATAAGGTGATATTATCATTGAGTATTAGATATCAAAGGATGTGCAAAGTATCTTTATATTGCAAAAGAAAAAAAAAAGTTTATAAATCATTCTTTACATTAATTTGCTTGTAATATGATTAAATAGTAATTAATAGAAAAGACAAAATTATTAACCAAATGGATTAAAATGAATTTTATTCTGTAATACGAGTAATAATCATAAGATGAATTGAATCGTGCAGAGAGTTTGAACTTAGAACATACAGTACATCTTTATTTATTCATTTTCACAACAACGAAAAAAGTAACAGCGATATTAATTCTTGCTTAATCATAAAAAATTTGGCCACAGTTTGAATTTTGAAAAATTTTTTAAAATCTCATTTTCATACTTTCAAAATCATTTTCATCGTTTACAAGCGCAATGTATGGTCAGTAATTTTACCTAAAGAGTCATAATAAAATGCTATCAATAGATTAGCTATGATGATTTGATACATTTGTTAATTTGTTAAATATATCAGTAAACTTTCCTTAATTTTTATTTCTAATTGAAATGTTCAGCCTTCACACTTCTTTTTTCAAAACTTTTACATTAATGATCAAAATTCAGATTTTGGTACGTTCCTCAAAATTTTAAGCTAAAAAAGAGGATTTATCACACAAGAAACTTTTCAGCTTTCTTTCTTGTTACTATTATTTGTATAATACAAAAAACGGAACTTATGGTTTCACACGAAAATTTAAATTTGATCCATGATGAAGAGGTTTGCAAATACAATGGAAACTTTGATAATTGTACTGTTATGAGGATACTATCAGTATTTAATTATCATTACTACATTGGTGTGACGGAAGATATCATTACATTCCTTTAAGAGATACATGTACACTGATATCTAATTTGTATTTTTATCACTGTTAGAAGACAAGCTATCTAGAGTAATCGAATAGTCGCAGTGTTTACTGGGGTACTCTTGAATCATCAAGAATGTATATTGCCACCCTAAATGTTAGAAATCCTACTATATGAATCCCTATTCAAGTTATTTGATCTTTCTTTTTTAATGAAGTAAGTTATTTCAACGAAAATGGATTAAAGGAGAAGCAAAACTTCTAGATTAAAGATCAATAAGAAGATAGATTAAATCACTGATAAATTAATATTATTTGAAATATGAAATTTTTATTACAGTATCGACATTTCTGCCGAAAATCATCTTTTCAAAGAGGAGATCTTTATGAAAGTGTGCAAATTAACAAAGCAGAACGAAATGAATTTATTCTGATACAGGCAGCAAAAGTAAAGACGAATTGCAAGTAAGTTATTCTTGTCAAGAAACTGGAAAAATTTCACGTATTATTACGTGAAGTCACGTTTTCATTTTTATATTGTCCTCCCAATTATATGTCATATTACTATCATTATTTAGCTATCACATATATGACGGCAAAAGTGGACTAAATTACTTGCAGCTTTCAACTTACCGCTGTCTCAAATTCAAACGAACAAATTGTTGTCCACAACATTTTCCCCACTGATCATCTCAATCAAAACGTCATCCTTTTGGTCAGTTAATTATATGCTTTCTCACAAGCATAAACTATTTATCATGACAATGACCCAGTAGTGACCACTGAATTTTGCTTATCCCCTTTTTGCTATTTCCCAAAGAGAGCTCATTTCTCCTAGACATTCAAACATTTTTAGCAATAATATCTGTTGCATATAAAATTTCATCTTAGTTGCAAATCAGTCAATACCATCAAATTTGATTAATGAATGACTAACTAGGGGTCATAGTTCTCGCATTCAGCCATCAATTATTTGCTAGCATACTTAAACACTAAAAAGATACAGAAATCAGGTACACAAAGTACCCAGTTTATTTTAAAACAGTTTGAAATACTATTCAAGATGGTCGGTTCACTGCAATATTCACTATTAATTCCAGGTAGCATGTAGTAAATTACTGCGTCAAGCAAATTATTTCCGCGTTTGGTACCATGGTGGCGGAATTTTACGGAAGAAACCGCTCGACGAATCAGAAGGCTTAAAATATGTACAAATCGAACCGGAACCTAAATGTGCAATAGGAAAGAAAAAAGAAACGAAACAAAGTGCAGCATTTGTGCATCTCACAATGTTACGAGTGCGATTACCTGTATGATTGCAACATTCAATTTAAAAATGATAATCAAAAACTCTGAACGAATTTTTGAATTCCTGTTACTTTCTCTATAATAAGCAAAACAGATTTGTCACATGGAAGTGATTTACAGATCGCTTCCAAATTAATGATGAAAGTGATAGCGTAAACGCTAATCAATCATTTCTAAAAAAACATCGCCGCAAAAGCTATTCTCTAATGAGAATTTAATAGCATTAAATTAAATATACTGGAATAAATATGTCAATATACTGAAATATATTTAATATATACTGAAAAATTTAAATATGCTGAAAAACAAATGAATTCAGGTTACCAATAACACCGAACAGATATGGAAAAACATCGGTGAAGCCACTGATATGCAACAACCAAAATTCCGTTCATACGGTAAGTAATCCAATCGGCCCTTTTTTTTTATAAAGTATGAAAAAAGTGAGATAAAAAAATGAATGAATAAATGAAATAATGAATGAATTCATTTCTAGCAATGCTAAGCAAATATCAGAAAAGTATCTTCGTGCCAGATTCATTCATCGGTAAACACTCATCAATCGTTACATCATCGTATTACCTTCATTGCTCATTATTGTTATTCCACTTATTTATTCTATATTCATTTCTAGTTTAGTATTTAAAGTTATCATGGAGATGTATGTAGATTATTGCAATTAGTAAAAATAAATAATTTGCATATCATAGTATGTTGCAAGTAAATCATAATTTTACATAAGTTTTATAATCGATTTCATTGTTAGCTCAACAGTTATTTTTCGTTGTCATCCAAATAAGAGAACAGGAAAAAAAAAACTGATTCAAATATCCTGAAATTCTGAAAGGTTCGAAAAGATGTAAAATGAGAATTTGAAGCAATTTCATCAGTGTACACTAAAATATAAAATTTTTTTATTCGATCGATAATTCTTATGTTACAATTCCTTGTGAGCAATTAATAAAATCATCATATCACTTTATAGTAAGACTGGTTTTTTTGCTGCCGTTAATGCTTGCAGACAACTTCTAATGCAATTTAAAACTCATAATTAGTTTTACACTGCACAATTTTAAATATTTCAAGCATACTATAATTTTGAAAGTTTCTCGAATGCTCTTACAAGAGAAATACTACTGAAATTTACAAGAGAAATACTAATATTCAATTGGAGAAAAAAAATCTCGTTTCAATCACTATCAATTTATGAACAATTATTCAAGTAATTTGATAACAGTGTCCAGTTACCGTAATTTGGCCATTAAGCAGTGGAAGAAATTTATTTAACTGATGAAAAATATGCTTTTAAAGATTTGTTCATGCGAGAAATAAAATCATTATCTATCATTCCAGTCATAACATACCTAACTATCCGCCAGTTAAGCACTACTGTAAATAGTTACGGTACTCCTACTCGGTTTTCACGTGACATTTACTTCCTTACAATCCGTTTGCAAGACAAACCTGACAATAAAAGGAACCGAACTTCTGGCAGAGTACCGAAAGGCTCGAAAGAAACTACACAAACTTTAGGTCCCAAGGCTTGGAAGAGGCTACATAAGCCTTAGGGCTTACTGTGAAACTCCATTTTTGGAGTACGCATTCAGAAATATTCCCACTTATTTAATCTGCTCAATATAATATTATCGAATGTTTTATTTTCACCAAAAGTGTGAGTTTATCTCTTCAAAATTCACTCCTTACCATCCCTCTTAATTAATTAATTAATTAATTATTAATCCTCTCCTTATTACCAATAATTTTGTCTCAATCTCTATCAATCCCTTCAAATTCCTCAACCTCTGCCCAATCTCTGATTGACTTCCGCAAACTCCTCTTTATTCTCGTCATTTTCAACTACATATCAAAATGTCTTCTTCTCCTATTAATAATATTACTTCTTCTGTTGCTGCATAATACTCTCTAAATAATGCGTGATAGCATAACCTTACTGTCTCAAATGGTCCAAAATCATTGAAGGTTTGAAGGCTAATAAGCCAAAGTGTTCTCTATACAGTTCTCATGCTTCTTTTCTTCTATTGTAGCCTCTTATATTTGCGTACTTCTTTGTCGTCGCCTTACTAGAAACGTGGTAATAATGTCGATGCAAAATTTAATTTGGATTCTTTGTTAAAATTGTTTTGAAGTGAGGGGAGAAAGGGCAGCAGAAGTGTTTACATTTCACGTTTACGTAACGTCATTTTGACGCACTTCAAATAATTATTCTTATTTGAAACTAAAAGAATAATTTGGTTTCAAATAATTTTTTCAAAATTTTTAGCTTCAAATAATTATTTAAATAACTATTGCTCGCACTTCAAATAATTATTCTTTTAGTGATCATCATCACGGAACGGTTTTGATCATGGAAGCAGATTTGAAGGAGCTTTTGGGTACTTCATCCTCTATTGGGTACAATTTCTTTTTTTATAGAAGTATAATTATTACTACGAATTAGAGGATCAGTCTTTTGTGCAATATTTAGATAATGTGAAGGAGATTTATTATTCCCACATCAATATGTTGGCTTAATTCAACTATCTCAACTTAAGAACTCGCCAAACTGACGCTTACTGATTGTCAGTTTTTTTTTCCGCTATCAATATGGCTAAAAGTTTCTTCATTTTCGGGTTTCTACGTGATGCATTCTCTTAATTCTATCAGGTATGCGGGAATGGAGGAGATTATTCTTCCTTAAGGACATTTTTTTAAGGAATCATTCATTTAGACGAAATGTACCCACGGGAACGTTACGTAACGAGGATTTCCGTCAACTTCTGACAAAGAAACTGGTTCAGACATCTGGAAGTGCAAACGGAGGACCGCAAACACAGCCTACTCATTCATTCAGTCATCGACAAGCTGCTGAGTAATTTATTTTGCAATTTACTTCTTCCCTTTAAAATGCCATCTAGTCACAGGGAGAAGATCAGGACATACCAGATATTAGGAAAAGAAAAAAAAGTGATTTCTCACCACTTAATATCATAATTCCTTCCATTTATTCATAGAACGAAACAAGGTATTGTTTTGAATGAGTAAAGCCTATTTGTAAAGCTTATCACGAACATATTTTGCTTGCAGTTCGAAAAGAGGCCATAGTAGTGGTGTCAAGACAAAGAAACAAAAAGAGCGAAGTAGTATGGATGGTGAAGACGACATATTTGGTTCGTATGTACATCTTATTTCTAATGGTTGAAGAGATATGAAATCATCCTTTAATATAAAATAGAGGAAGAAGAAAATAAAAACTAATTATTCCGAATTTGGATCGTTTATCCAGGGGCGAGAAAATCCAGCTACATATAAGCAAAAGAAATAATGTTACAGGACCATCAAATTTGAATGAAATTTTAAAAAATTATCGTGATCGAGCAGAAGAAAGACGAAAAGGAATTGGAAAAGATGATAATATTGATGATTTACACGCAAATAATGCTTACCGAGCAGTACCTAGTGATGTACGTGCAACAGCTGATGCTGCACAACGTAGGAAACAGGCAATCCAGGTATTTTATTTATTACCTACATTTTCATCCAAGTTTCTCGGAAATTTAGAGGATTTTTGCAAGAATCTTGATCTTTATTACTTAGTAAGAAATTCAATGTGATGAAACGCTGTAAGATGACAATTCATAATGCATATAAGAACAAATTTGCAGGAAAGTAAATATCTTGGTGGTGATATGGAACACACTCATTTAGTGAAAGGTTTGGACTACTCATTGCTGCATAAAGTTCGTTCAGAAATAGCTATGAGAGAACAGAAAAATGACGAAACATTGGAATCACAATATAATGCAAGTCATAACCGTTTTTTGAAAGATTTTTAAGCATTCCTTTTTATTATTTTTTTTTCATACGCAGTTTTTTACAAGTAAAATTTGCTTAATTAAAAAAACTTTTGTTACAAAAAATTCTTTTCATTTTACTTCACTCTTCGAAAAAAATAAAGCGATTTTAATGTATTTTCTGTGTTTCTAGAAAGACAGTCAGAAAGGTGAACCACAGTCAGATAATCGGATGGTTCGAAATATTCATCGGACGGTGTTTCAGAATGAACTTCCTGCATGCAATGAATTGTTTAGGTAAAATTGCTGCCATAGTTTGTCATTCTTAGTTTTAATTTTTTTCCACAAGTTTTTTTAATCTTATGGTCACGAGTAAAAGTTTAGGAAGGGTCGAATGGCTTATGTGGTAGATTTGGAGGAGGAAGATAATGATTTGCCTACTACACTGTTACGTTCCGTTCATGATTGTCCAGCAACGGAAAGTACTCATGATATCAACACCAGTAATATGCTTATTCAGGTAATTCAATTTCAGTTGATAAGAGCTATGATTTCGATTTAACCAAGCTTCGTTCTGGCTATCTTTTATAATTTTCAGAAACTTACACAAGTTCTGTCATATTTGCGCACCGATACGCAGAAAAAAAGAAAAAAAGTCGAAGGTACAAATGACGAACATGCCAAGATAGCATCACAACCGATATTTGATGATCAGCGTGATTTTACTACTCCCAGGAATGATCGTGATCGAGAACGGCGAGATCGGGATCGAAAACGTCTGAAACCTTCTTCGTAAGTATTGGAATATCTTCATGATTCATTTTTCTTCTACATAGGTTTGCATGCATTTAAATACGACATAACTTTTTTTGTAGTAAAGTATTCTTTTACGCTTTCCAAGCAGAGCATTGTTATTAAGATTGACATTTCATATCGTTGTATGTTGGAGCAGTTTATTCTTCATAACACAATTTTTTTGGGAATAAAATGATCATTTGCTTGTAACTGTCTATCATTTGCTTGTTACTAACCGATATGGAAACAAATTAAACTTTAGGTCTTAATCCGAAAAATTAGGTTTATAATTTTTTTATATTCAAATTTCAATCCATATCATATTGTCATTATCATTATAAATATTCAGCTGTTTCGAAGTTTTAAATGTAGATATTTTGACGATCGTGAAGCAGATCGTGATAGAGATAGGAATCGTGACCGCGAGAGAAATCGTGAATACGAAAGAGCAAGAGACCGGGATCGAGATCGAGAACGTCGTGCGCGAGACGACGAAAGACGTGGCGAACGTCGGGAAATAGTAAAATTGGTTGAGAATGATGCACCACCAGAAAAGAAGAAAAAAGTACCCATGGAAACAGAAGGTTATGCGGAATGCTATCCAGGTGGTATGTATGAAGCTGCCGGAGAAAGCGATGACGAGGCTGATTATTCAAAAATGGATATGGTTAGTAAAAATGAAGTACTTACATTTTATACTCTTAAAGTTACTGTTAAACAGTAAAACTTCTTCCGCTCGTTACTGATTGCCTAGATAATCTTATCTGTGGTCATATGTGGAGGAAGTTTGAAATTTTATGTATAGGACGATCTGAGTGGAAGATTACTAAAATCTTACTTTTATTTACAGGGAAATAGACGAGGTCCAGTGAAACGTTGGGATTTTGACGACCACGAAGATTATGAAAAGTATATGGAGTCGAAAGAAGCTATGCCGAAGTAGGTCATGTCATAATTAAATTATGACTTCAAAGTTAGATCATTTGGAAATTCTGAATGAAAAATAATCGGGCATAGTCGTTCGAAGTTCTGAGTTCCGTAAGCAATTCTTAGTATGTTCATTGTAACTATTTATATGGTTACATTAGTTCTATTTGAAAATATTCTAATTTGTTTTCATTCGTGTTGTAGAGCGGCATATCAGTTCGGAGTGAAAACAAATGATGGACGGAAAACAAGAAAGAGTGCTCCAGATCGAGAAAAGCATAAATTGGATCGTGAATTCTCCGAAATAACTAAAATACTTGAAAAGCGAAAAATAGACAGCCATAGATCGTAAGATTTTACAGCATGTGTAAAAACATTACTTATGTTATCCAAAAACTTCTAGAAGGACGTTGAGGATAATGGAAAGAGGGTATTCTGTGTGTGACTCAGACCAAATCTTAATTGTTCATTATTTTCCGATAATTTTTAAATCTTTAAATTTTAAATTTTGAACCATCTTTAAAACTCAGCTAATTTAAAATTTTTAGCGAGATCGCCAAGCGAATTAAATACTGATGCTGGCGGAATACATTTCATAAAGGATATGAAGTCGTTCATCTTAGAATAACAATGTACTTCATATTTTTGGTTTGTTGTCAATAAAAATATTTATGATTCATGAAACTCAGAGTTTGATAAATGACACCTTTAGTTACATTATAGGGTTTCATACTGATTCCCATATTCACAGTTGGCTGGATCACACTATTACGCCTTCTTTATGCATTTCTGGAAAACGTCAGTTTTGTCGAAAAAGAAAAGCATAGTTTTCTTAGCATAAAATTACTGTGAAACTTCCACTTTTTGTACACCGAGTTGGTATTGCATTTATGAGCAAATCCCGAAATTGGTGCGAAAATCCCGATGTTTTTTACTCAAGGCATTTATCCGACTTTATGGCATCTTTCCCGCTGATATTTCCCCCACTTCTACCCGCATCCTTCCTTGCTGTAAGTGCTTCTTCCAACTTGTTTTTAGAAAAAAATTATGTTATCTAAAAATTTCATACGAAATGGATTGACGGCAGTGAAACTGAAAATATGTAATTTAGGTTGTGAAGTGTGGAAATGTGGTAAGATACGTCACAATTCATTAATTGTCGATACCCAGAAGTACATGATCACTGAGTGTAAATATATGAAATTACTTTCTCGTGTGTTAAAGAAACAACATGATCAAATCATTTTTATTTTAATACCCGTATTAAAAATGTTTTACAGTTTGCCTTTTTTGATTGAAGAAAATATCCAAACAATAAGAGAAAGGTATGCTTGAAGAAAAAGCTATACAAATAATTAAAAAATAATGCATGAATAAAAAAGCATCTTTTATTAACCATTTTTTCTTGCTCATTACAATGAGCATTACTGCACTGAGAGAAATAAAATAGCGGTATACAGGTACCGGAATAATCAAACAAATGTCACGATGACTGAGATTTCTCTATACCCGTAAATATGTGTAAGAATCGTCCATTATACCACATCAATCTTATTAAGGAATTAATTAACTGAAATCGATTAAATAATCATAAGTTGTTAAGGGAATACATAGTGATACTGTTCTGTATGCTTTCCAAGAGCGTATAGAACTTCGGAAAACTAAGCTTTAAAAAGTGCATATATTAAAAGTTAATTCCATTTGAAACTGACATATGATCAAAAACCTAAGGAAATCCCGAACTTTGTTCCATAAAGTGGGCGGGAACGAGACAAGAAACAACAGTTTATGTGATAGTAATATGCTTTTGAATCAAATAGTAATCAAAAATGGACAGTTTCTTAAAACAAATCAAAAACAATTATCTTTCACGTTTATGGTCAACGGCCAATAAATCACTGGATCTATCCTCGGAATAACTAAATTGCTGGGCTTTGAAACATGCCTAACAACTTTAAGGATGCAAAATAATACATAGTCAATTTCCTTTGGATCATATTTTGATTTAATCTAAAAGATTCAAGTAATTTCCCTCGATTCAAAGAGAAACTGTAAGAGACTTCACGAAAATTCAAAATTAAAAGCAAAATACAACCTATAACAACATGAAATCCATTAATGTAACATAACAATGAATCATCAAAAATTAAATATCTCCTTCCACATTGAATCAAAAGCAAAAGTTGAACCGAAATCTTATGAATACATACTTTAACTTTGTCACAACGGGAATAAAAATTTAATAAATTGACAGAAAAAAAGGAATGTGAACTTCATGGAGGTTAAACTTTCGAAATTTGTAAGGAGTAAAATCGAAAATCAACATGATTTAAGAAGGAGAAATACAGCATCAAGATACATTTAATCATTTATTTTTTTATCAATGCAGAGATTTTGTCAGAAGCAAACGTTTTATATATTTATAGGATGAAAACTATGAGCTTCCAGACACTAGGATTCTAAAATTTGTGAGAATTAAAGTTAAATTTCCGCTGTAAAAAAAGCGACAAAATAGTGAAAATAGAAAGTTCACTGTTCAACAATTATTGTCGGTGGCAAGCAAGTATTTGAAAAATTCACATGATGACAATTCTACGCTTCACCGAAATTCGTGAGAAATAAAGTCAAAGATCAACATGAATTCACAACAAAAAAAGAAAAATAGGCAACAAAATATTAAAATACATAAAGTTATTCCTGTTCACCATTGTTAAACAGTTAAAAATGGTTGAGATGTCGAAGCAGCATTGATGTGCTTTTCAGAAATCAAAATCATAGTTTTCAGAAACAATTAAATTAGAAAAATAATTACTCTTTAGTGTGCAAAAACCGAATAAAATGAATAAAAAATAAGCAGTAGCATCAAGAACAAAAACTTCAAGGATCATAATACTTACTTTATCAACTATTACTATATCATTACAATCACTATACCCTTCATAAAATCTAATTTGAAAAAAGATGGATATTAAATGCAATTCGATTCTCTTGACTTGAAATAGTTCATCTAATATACTCATGTAGCTATTCAAACTTATAGATTTAATAATAATGCTTAGAATTTAAAAGATAATGCTCGAAATGAATAGCTACCAAGCAACTTTTCTTTTCGCCAATTCAAGAAAATCTCATCAATCTCACCAACAGCAACGGAGGCATTCATCATGGAAGTTCCGTCAAATTAGCGAACAGTTTCTGCAGCGTTATAGCAAGTTGTACACCATGGATTACTCGACTAAAAGTGGAGTGATATAATGCAATGAATAGATGCTTAGATGTTTTCACCAGTAACTTGTTTTTACTAATTTACAACAGCAAAACAACATCTTTACAATAATGGTGGTGACAGGAATAATTTTCCCAAAAATGCTGATCCAAATAATTTTATGTGATGCTTCTTCTAGCATTTTTCCATCTGATCCATATGCTCCGATTTACGGTGAATTCTTAAATTTCCAATCACAATTTGGTCAAGAAGTGACTAAGTTAAAATACCGTACCACATCTAATAAACGTAAAGTTATAAAATGTGATAAAACATGGACAAACTTGTGATAATGAAACATGAATTTTTTCGCGCTCTCATGTTCTTCAAAAATAAGCGATATCGTATTCTCCGAAGATCGCCACACTTTCTAAACATAACAATGGTTACTTCTCCGTATTCTGCTAAACATTCGTTGAACGAAAAAAGGTTTTGTTGCCTTCTTGTACAGAAAGAAATGTTTACTGAATCAGTAAACGATTAACCCTGATTGCCTTTTTATAAGACAATTTCGACGAAATCAAGAGAGCCTTGCAGTACTTTTTGTCATTCTATTAATTAGGACAAAGCACACTCCTAGGAAAGAAGTTCATGAAAAAACTTTTGATACCTTAGTGGGCCCAACAGTTTCAGCAATGATCTTAATTCTGTCCACATTGATTGGAGCCTGATTCGATGAGTTAACAATAACAGCCAAATATGCCTTTTTCTTTCGTGATCGTTCCAGATTCTGTTCGTTTTCTCGTTTTGCACGTCGAATTGATGTAACTGTAGCTGTTGCAGCAGCAGTAGCTCCTGTTGCGATTTGTTCCGTAGTGGAATCATTTCTTACTGCTGTAGGTTCCATCTTTTGCATGACACTACTGTTAGTAATAGCTTTTTCTGCAGAAACTAATGCTTTTAGTCGACCACTATTAACGATTTCCTGTGAAACTTCATTGCTTGTGCCACTAACAGGATCCTGTCTGCCGTTGCGAATTCCACTAGTTTTTCTTGTCCTACTGTCAAATTTCCGCCTGCTGAAATGCTCTTCATCTGTTCTTCGGCTCCGCTGAATTCGTCGTTCACCGAAACTATCAGCACGATTCAACTGTCGAACCGATTTTTGATCGGATATAGAAATTGGTCCTCCAAGGCGTTGGACGGTTTGAATACGTCGTTCTTCTTTTTTTCGTAAAATCACCTCTCTCATTTTTTTCTGCTCCTCCAGCTTTGTCAAATACTCACTATCTAAACCAATCGCTTTCGCACACTCAATAGTCTTTTCCTGAAGCAATTAAAATTTCAAACATAAAGTGTCTCAGAAGTCTTAGAAAAACTCAAATTTAGAAGTATTTGTATAACTGACCTGCTTCGCTACATCATTTGCGCGACTTCTGGTACGATCAGAATGATGCACTGATTCTCTCCGACTATCACCAGATCTCAAATGATGTCCAGGACGTCGACGTATCATTTCATTCCTGAAAATATCAATAATATTAATATTTCACACAAGAAGTATTCACCTTTCTTTGCAGCCAGTTGAGAAGCCTAACAAATCTAAACTAAGCAATGTCCCGTGAATATTATTCTGCATATTATAGCTTAAAAACTTTTGGATGTAATCAATTGAGAAATAACATCAGAAATCACAACTTTGAACGATAATTAGACGGACGACGTGAAGATGAACGGCGGCTGCGTGCATGAACTCGGCGATAAGGTGAACGCGATGAGGAACGCGAAGATATGGTAGAACTTGAGGAATGCGATGAATATGAACGCGATCTAGAATTAAATTTCATAAAAATAAAATTAATTCAATTAATCAAACATCAATAACTTGATCTGTTTCTACCTTTATTGTATTCCGCACTTTCATATAGTTAAAAAAATTGTCTACACAACTTGTCACATTGATCGGCTAGATTTTGATATTATTATTCTAAAGTTTAATAAATCACACGCATGAATATACACACATGAATTGAGAAAATCTTATAAAAACATATGCTCGCTGATAAAATAGCTTCTAAAACAATCCATAAGATGAACCTTGAACGTGAAGAAGAGGAAGAACGTGGTGAACGTGAGAAGCGAGATCTGCTACGAGCTGTTGTACGACGTAAAAAACCTTCTACCATTTGATCCCACTGTCCAACGGATGGGATCAGATGAGACTCTGCCATAAACTGATTAGGATAAACAGATGGAGGCGGTGTTGAATAGTTGGGAAGTGGTAATATTTGTGGTGGTGGACGCGAGAAATCTGCGGATGATGATGGAACAATCTAAAACAAGGATATCTTAATCTATCAAAAAGAGGATCAAAATAATGGATGCCACATACGATGAAGAGTCTTTTTTTTTAATAAAAAAACAATATTCAATCAAAATAAAACATTTCAATGGAACGATTTAAAACGTTAAGATCCTGCTACATACTTTGATGACTGATAAAGGCTGGTTCACACTTATGTTTATTGTTTTTATTCCGTATTTTCGTATTCTAATAATATTTGGATAGCTTACTGTGATGTGGGAGTTGAATCTTCTGCGCAGCTTATTTTTGAAAGTGCAAAACAAGCTATGAAACGCTATATATCACTAATTAAATACAACTAGTTCAAAACGACCACAACTTCAATCAATGGGGTTAATGGTCAACATGTCCAGCCTCCATAAAGATCGGGCACTAAAGAGTACTTTTGATGCCTGTGCATAAAAATATTATGCAATGTCATAACTGCTTATTTTATGTGCATTAGAAAGTCATTTTTTGTCAATATTACTTGATTGTGTCATAAGATTTAGAGCATATAAAATTTTAAAACTTTTCGACATTTTGCTTTAAACCGCTATCATATGGTGATAAACAAAACTTACAGAAAAAGGAACAGAATGTGATAATTGTGGTAATATTGCGACGCTATTCGGTAGCGGAAGGGCCATTGGATGTCGTAAGCCTGGCATACTAGGAACTCTGACTGCCGCTTCCCATGGCAGTGACACTGCAAATGGTTTAAAGTAAATGAAGTTTGGGTAAGTAATGATTGTAGAATGTAAGATTCCTGCAAAAATCTCAGAAGTCTGAAATCGCTTTTTAGCAACATTTTAATGGGACCTACTCAAGTTTTGTTTTACTACAATAACTTTTTCTAATAAATATTCAACAACTGCAGTAAGGAGCAAAGCACGAAACAAGAATTTAAAACACTTAAAAAATTTAAGTTATGAAAACTATGTTTAATATCATATAAAATTAGTAATAAACTATCAAATAGAAGAGTATCCTTACAGGTGTGTGATATTGATCCTTGTGGTCTAATAACGCCTCGATGATGAGGATTGATAAAAACTTTTGGTGCGCGACTTGTGCTTTTTATTATACTATTCATCGGTCGCATTTGAGATGCTGGGGATGAATTTTCCTCCAAATCTACTGGTTCAACCTTTAAAATTATACAACATTCAAGCAAATGTCAATTAGGAATTTTTATATAATTCTAACGATTTAATGCATTTTATTCAACTAATTTTATCTATAAAAATGTATTATTTAAAAAACATTAAAAATGAGAAAACAGAAAAATATATATTATAATAATATTATAAGAATATAAAATATGTCACCAATTTGCCGGCTGAAATGTTGTTTGCTGGGACATTCCGATTTTGATCTTCCCTTTTAGACGACACTTCATTCAGTAAAGATCGCCTTTGCATCAGTGCCTAAAACAGCAGAGAATACACTCCTCTCGTAAGATATATTGCTTTTTTTCGCCGCTTAGATCTTATAATACTATTTTTTCCTTAACCGAAACCAAAAGTCGAATGCATAGAAAATATTAAAGGTACCAAGCTTACCCGCTCAGAAGTAAACTTCGATGAACGTGGTGCTTTTTCAGCTTCCAAATCTTCGTCATAATCAAGTTCCTCGGCTTCTTCATGATGTTCTACAATTTCGTCTTTTATGCTTCCTTCCTCTTGTATGTCGTCATCACCCAAAATTGCCGATTCGTCCAGTTCACTTAAGTTACTAACATCCTGAAAATGACAACAATGAATTAGAGAAATATTTTCAACAAATCTCAAACTGTACATAAATTAATTTGGAAACATACAGACGAATACATAAACACAGAATGCCGAGTTAATCCGGTATATAACATTTTATCTATAGTTTTGGCAGTATTATTGTCTTTGCTGACCAAAGTGGAAAAACATTTTATATAAATCGTTGAATGATACCACGCAATATAAGCAAAACTTACAAATGTACTCGATGTTTCTAGCAGTAATTCTTCCTCGTCCATGTTCTGCCGTTCTTAAGGAAATCTGATTGAAGCAAACATATACAGCTGTGATAAAAATGATATCATTTGAAGATAATCGTAAAAATGTTAACTTTCTCAAAAGACAAAAAAAAGTTCTATCCAGGAGAAAAAAAAGAATGAATGTTGGAAACGGATGCTATGATAACTTTTATTAATATATCTCCTAGGGGGGGGAAACTAAAAGGCAAAAAGGATACGGTACCGACTTATAAAACATAAATGAGCAACTATTCAGCCGTATTGAACTTTTTTAATCTAAGCACTGTATTATATTATAGCAGTAAACACCATTAAATGGAATCTAACTTGCTCAATATTGTAAAAATAGCTCAAATTTGCATGAAAATGGTAGATTATGAAAAAAATGCACTAGCGACAAAGCCTAAATTAACTCATTGCTACAATCAACTGTTTTGAAAAAAATTTTTCAGAGAATTTACTGAATTTTAGTTGAATTGAATAAAGCAGTATAGGAGCAAAATACACGTATTTGACCTCTACGGCGAAATAAAACAAACCTCAAATATACACCCAACACTCAATCACCCGCAACGTTTCAATGGTCTCAGAATTGAGCTTAGACTGGATTTCATGAGTCCTCAAATTGTACCACTATGAAAATTACAATCCCAACAAGGTTTTGTAATAAGGTTTTCCATCACTCCTAAAGTTGCAGAATTTCAGTTCAAAGATTGAAAAGGTTGTTTTTTTTTTTTAAAGTATCATACTTACTAGAGAAATAATTTGCCGATAATTTATGTAAGTAACAAATAAAATGGTCGTTTTTGATATGTTGGAGTGTTGAGTTACTGATATATTGATCGATGAATTATTTCTCTAGCATTTAGTGATTAGATATTGACAAGTGGGTGAAAAAATGGTCAAATTTTTGACAAAGCATTATTTTGGATGATAGAATACTCAAGAAAAGGATGCGATCAAGATTGGAAGGATGCGAGAGTGATATGTCTGGGTATTATCCTTGCTAATATTACAATTATATTATTGCTAATTAAGAAAGATGAGATACGGCGCGAGAATTATAATCTCTCTGCTATTTCTGTTTCGCTTCATTTTAGCAATAGAAAATAACGTATGGAAGCAAATTTTGATCCACTAATTATATCTTTTCCAAAAAGAAATTTGGAAAAATTGTCACTTAAATGATTCTCTTTTTCAATATGAGTTACTTGCTAGGAATGTACAGTTTTTGAATGCTAAGAAACAATTATTTTAACTAAATTCTCGAATTATCACTTTCCATGAAAGCAAAAAGACAAATTACAATAGATAATTTCGTTAAGGAATTGATATTACTATCATTTATCTTTTGAAGTAATTGTTTAAAAAAAAATAGGTAAAAAACATGCAATTATCTCTGCCGTAATTATAAACGGTAAGAAAAAATTATTACTGCAATAAGTTTAATTATTGTTTGATGAAATAGATCAATTAAATCAAAAAAATGGTTTATTATAATGTCTGTTTGCATGTTGATTGCATACATTTTTTGGTTTATTACCTGCTTACAATGATAGTTATTGATAGGATTTAATTTCGATAAATTCCCATCCATTCTAATCAGTCATTCAGTTATGTTAATCAGCGGAGCAAAAAAAAAGACTGAGATTTTAAATTTTATTCTAACATGAATACAAAAAAAAAATTGAAAAAATTAGCTTTTCAGATCTCATTTTCATATATAAAAGATAGCACTGTTCGGACATTTTTGAAAAAGAAAATTTTTTTTTAGTATTTCTTACTTTCAGCTAAAATATTTTTTTTTTTTGACAACAATATAATAATAACTTTTTGCGAGTTAATTAATCAGTTAGTAATTTGAGTAAAGAGTGTGAATTATCGATTGTTGTTTTGTCAATTTTCTGTCTAAAATGTCAATATAACATCATTTATCACTCAAAGGACTCTTTAAGCATTATAAATCTGTTGGAAATTCAATAGATGGAGAATCTCTCATTCTTTATGATAGGAATTAGAAATCAATCAATCAATCAATTAGTTTATCGTACTTTTGAAGGTTGCGAGAAATTCAAGCAACAATTACTGTTGATTTAAGCAATAATTGTTTGGAGTGTTTGTTTTGCATGGAACAGGTTAATTCAAACAATTGTAATATATTTTTAGTATAAAGCATCATAAGTGCATTTAATTGAAGTTTCTTCCCGGAAGTCACAGAAAATGAAAAAAAAAGGAAAATAAAAGTCACAGAAAAATAAGGAAGTTAAATAAAATTAATAAAGTGATGATTGTAATGATAGCCAATTATCATTCATCTGATGTTCACTTGTTTAAAAAAAAAGAACAAATGGAGAATATTCGAGAATTTAAATGTACATCTTTGAATGTTCAATAGATATTAATTAATTAAGAATGTATTTGATCAATTGGGTGCATTGGTGATGATTTATGCTAAAAATATATTATATAGAGATATGATCAATAGTAAAGATTAAGCGATATCTTCAGTTGTTTATCATGAGATAACAGTTCAGAGCATTATGATATCAAGGGCTAGAAATAGCAACATTTAATATTTGTTGTGAAATTACAACACAGATCACTTTGTACCTGTCCTCTTTTTCTTTCTTATAGCTTCCTTGTTGATCTATAATTCTAAATTTCCTTTTGTTCAGTGATATTTATAAAAGCGAATAAAATATTGAATGATAAGGGTGAAGAGAGGCTATAAAAGCAGAAATGCTAATTCTTCATGTGATATTCAGTTAGTCGTTTATCACTGTAGATAATTCATTTCCATGATCGATATCAATTTGGGTTCAACTTAATTGATAATAACAACATTTCTACCCATCTTTAATTTTTCTCTTACAAAAACTATCAATTCAAACAATTTCTGCTTAGGTGGAATGAAAAATTCTGATAAAATTGAAGCAGGTGACAACATCCATCATACATTTCTAAGCTAATGAAATATATCTTAAGACAAAGTTTCTTCATCCCAAGCACAAACATCAATGCTTACTTTTTCTTTACTTTCATTAATAGCACAATAAAATTTGTTCATTTTAATAAATTATTAAAAAATTTAAAGGAGAAAAAAAATTTCACGATTTAATTTATAGAAACCAAACAGTCATCATTGTATAGACAGTGCTATATGATGAGATGGTGTTTTTTTTTTTTACTCTTACGATGATCCCGTTGAGAGTTACTACCATGCATACTGTAACTTTTAAATTACTACAATAGTTTCTTTGAAATTAGCCGATCATTACTAATTTGTTATTTGGTATTAATTGTGTACACTGTAAATAAATGGGCAAAAATTTGAGCGAAATGAAATTTTTATTTTGCACCATATTTTTTTGAGCTTCATCATATCGATTATTACCACTGAATTCCACATCACTTTTATTAGAATGGCAAATTATTCATTTAAAAATTTAAATATTTCCATGTCACCGTATGAATGAGCATATGTAAATGTATAGATAGAGTCGATTAACTTCAGTGTATCTTCGTCAGGTACGCTGAACTTCGTCGTGGACATGGGCAGTAATGAGCATCTGGTCCGGGTAAACCTGGACTACCAGGCTGAAATGTTATTATATGCTAATTATTAAGTTATCATATAGAAGGAGGAGGAAGCAATATTTCAGACTCATTCAAACTTGATGCAAATAGGTAAAAATCAAGTATGATAACTCATTTAGCTTAGATTTTTTCGCTTATATTAAATAATTTAGAAAGATAGCAATATATTTAAGAATTCCAATTAATTCTAAAAAATTCTTGAAAGAAAATATCAAATATACCGCTCCAGGACGTCCATCATTGCCCTTCCTACCATCATTTCCTGGTCGTCCTTCTGTGCCCTGCTCTCCTATTTCACCATCGTCACCCTTTGCTCCGTCTGGTCCCGGCTGACCAGGTGGTCCACGTGATCCAGTCGGTCCTTTCGGTCCTTGTGGTCCGATTCCTCGTTTTCCATCCCTTCCTGGTGGTCCTGGCATTCCAGGCTCTCCAGTTGGTCCTGGTTCGCCCATTTCACCAGGTGGTCCAGGTGGTCCTTGTTGTCCATTCTTACCCGGTATTCCAAGTGATCCACGACGTCCTGTTTCTCCGTAATCTCCTTCTAGACCATCTGGCCCTGGTGGTCCTGGTCGTCCTGGTGGGCATTCTATGCAACCACCAGGAAAGTGATATGTTGCTAATAGTGATACACCATTAGCACCATCTCTACCATCTCTACCCATCGGTCCATCATTACCTCTTAAACCTTTGTCACCTGGTGGTCCTGGTGGACCTGGTGGACATAATTCTGGTGCCTGACATTCTGTAACAAATTATATCTTTCTATGCAACTGTATATTTGTGAATGAGGCTTTTTTTTCCAGAATTTCAAAAAACATCACAAATAGTGAAAATCATTACTTGGCTCAATTTTTTTTTTTTTTTTGCGCTAAAATTTGGAAATAACTAACGACAGTGTGGTGGTGGAATGAACTGTTGCCGTTTGTATCGATTAATCAAGGAAGTGAATGTCTCATAGCGACGACCATCTGGGCCAGAGTGCAGCATTACTATTCTCTCCCAAGTATCATCTGCAACTGTCTGAAAGAATATCGAATTTAAATTTTTGAGTTAATTTTACTTTCCTAATTTACTTAAGTCCATAAATTGTCATCAAATTGCAACCATCATTGCTCTTTCAATTATAAACATAATCATTTTTATGAAAAAAAAAATGAGAAAGAAATGTTTCAAATAATACAAATGATTCATTTTAAATATAATCACTTTACACTAACCTATCCCGTACAAGTACTTGATTTTGAAATTTGATAATGAAATTTTCAAACAGCCATCAAAAATTCTGCTTCGAAAAAAAAAAAAAACAAAAAACAAAAGTAATAACTCTGAATATGCCCATTTCATCCATAACATCGTCATGTAAGTTGTTTATTTCGTTGAATAATACACAAACGGCGATCAGTGATGTGACAATGATGCAGGCGCAACTTGCCGTTGCAATACCAATCATTGTTTTTGTGCTCATTCTTTTCCCTGTAATCCCGACTATCTTTATTCCACATAAATTTTTAAATCTTATCAAATATCGAATTAAATATTCTCTAATTTCATTAGCATCCTATCTCTATTGAATTTTTCAAAAATTGCTAAAAATACTTATAAGAAAATAAAAAGTACTTATATGAGCTTTTTATTTTTAGTAAAATAAATTAGAAATATGTTTTGTATTTCGTCTAAAAAATCATAAAATATTCAAGCAAAATATGCTAACATTTCTTTAAATTTAATTATAATTTCGAGATTTTTCTATTTCAATTGTAAATATATTAAAGTCAATCTCAAGTTAAATTAAGCTAACATTAGTACCAAGTAAATCTAACTTCACAGGAAAGATGATATTTTTTTGCTGTCATATTTTACACTGTATTTCATCTTATATCAACCTACCGATACGGTACAAGAAAGCTGTACGAAAATGGTTAGAAAAAGAATTGAAGATGAAAGTATTTTTAACATCTTTTATAAGGCAGACATTTTCTGTACGAAAAGTGATTATATGCGAAAAAGATATGAACAGGTAGTTGTAGTGTATGTTCCACCCATTCGTTAATATTGAAAATGCTAAAAAGAAAGATGAAGAAGAGAGTACAGTATGGTACAGTTATCATTCCGGATAGTATAATAGTCAGAATGAAATTTTCAAGAAATGAAGAACGAGGAAATTGAAACTATCCAATAAACATAAATGAGAACGATTGCTGCTACAAATATTTCATCATCTTTTTTTTATTCATTAAAAAAATTATATTGATTTTCTTAGTAGGCATATCATCGATATACAGGAGAGAACCTAGAAGGGAAGAATGGAATTTGAAGATTCATCAAAAAAAAAAAAAAATGAAAGAAAGAAAGAAACAAAAGCCAGTTTACAACAAAACTGATTGCCTAACTGGAAAAATGATAAGGAGAGATGAAAGAAATATTAATTAGTGAAAAAAAAAAATTGTACAACATGGTGAGACGAAATGAAATTAGCTAATGTTACCGATTCCTTTCATTTCCTTTCAATTTTTCAGTCTCTTTTTTTTTAAATTAATTAATTTGGAAAGTATCAAACCGCTATAGTTAAACGATAAATTTAAAAAGTAATGTTTCCTAATAATCTTTTAATTATCTTTCCACTTTTTCCCTTTTCGTTTTATTTCCATTTTTCGGCAAAATTTACCACTCTTTTTGTCTTCCTCTCGTAAAATTTAAAAAAAAAAAGTAATAAGAATAGAATTGAACTTTTGAAGAGCGAAATATTTGCATGATGCAAATTTCGCCCCTTCAATTTTACCGAAACATTGACATTTGTCACTTCTTACAGTGATATTATATTAAATCTGTCTGTCTCTGCCATCTAAACGATACGAAATGAATGCATAAATAAATCCATTTGATTATTTGTTAAAATTTTACACGAAGCATTTCTGTGAATCATTTCAATTTTCCTTGTAAAAGATCAAAGGTGGAAAATTGAGGAGGAAAAGAAAGTGCAATGTGTATCAGAAGTGATAGTGATACATTTAGTAAAATTTTACAAGAAGCATTTCTGTGAATCATTTCATTTTCTTTGCAAAAAATCAAAGGTGAAAAATTGAGGAAAGAAACTGTAATATATATTATAAGTGATAGTAACTGTAACATATATTATAAGTGATAGTAACTGTAATATATGTTACAAGTGATAGTAATAGTGTAAGTAATAGTGTATACTTTTGCTAAGATTATCATAATCACGTATGTTTTAGCATAAAGATAAATATACATATCACTGTTTCAAATTTGATGATCCCGAGAAAAACAAAAGATGGAAATGGATCGTCAAATATTCGGATGATGAAGAGACAAATAATAATACGTAGCGAATGCAGTCTTATCAACTGAAATTGAAAGTTGTGGTATTGGTACATATCGCGCCCAAAGTTCTGTTAAATCACAGCTGAATTTAAATACTGATGTAAGGCCGTACTGATTAAATTTGAAAATACTAATTTACCAAATTCGAAGAATATTATGATTAGCTTAAATTTGTGACATGGAATCAAGATGTTCAGTTCCCGTTCATATAAAAATTTGATTCATTGATTTTTTTTTTAAAATTTCTTTTAAAAAAGTTAGAATTTTAATAACATGAAGAAATTTACATTTTCTAAGCCGTAGTTTATAAAATATGAAAAATAGGTATTATCTTCAAATGCTAATTGCACTTAGCCCTAAATTGAACATATTCTTAAACTTAGCGCTGCTTCGTCTGTTAATAGCTATAACTCGGTACTTTTCTTTTCCGCTATAAAAATACTTCAAAAAGATGGGTTAAAATGAAATTAAAATCAGGAAATAAATATTTTCAATTGATATTGCATGCATTTTAAATTTTGATTTTGAATGAATTTTTCAATTGCAATAGCCGTAATTGAACAATCAATAATTTAGGGTAAAATGAACGAACGAGAGCTAACCGATCCTCGATGAAAACAAAAAAGATTACGGGCGGCTCTTTGATGAGTTATACTTAAACAAACAAAAATGACGCCATGCTTCTCTTCCAATTTGTCTGTTTGTAAATTTTTACTTCCTGCTGCTAACTGATCTTTGATTATTTTAAAGGCACTTTCTAAATGTGATTATATTGCTATAATTAGCTGATAAATAATCAAAAATGCGATTTTTTTTAAAAAAAAATACGAATTTATATATAAAAATGAAATATACATTTTTACAGTTTAGGAAATGTGTAATAAATTGATATTACATTAAGGAAACAGTAATTTTATCGTATCACCGAGAAGCAAAGGCACTGTACAAGAAATTTCGGACAATCAATAAAAAAAAATTATGCAATTCTCATGATTTTAAATGCAATTTTGAATGAAATAATTTTTAATGAATAATGTTTTTGTTTCAAAATCGAAAGAGCACTTTCAATTATTTTTATCAGTGATAGAGATGACATGCACAAATTCTGAGTGCAAATTTACAAAAGAATTACATTCTATGTAAAAATATCATTGAGATTGTGAAAATAAGCTAGTTGAGAATTCAAAAGTTATAATGTTAATTTTGTATTAATATCGTATTGATTTTTCTAGTAATATTTCAGGGATTTATTATGAAATTATCCAAAAAATTGTTGAAATTTTGCAACATTCAGAAATTAACTTGCAAATTTTTAAATTTTACACAAAATTACTTCACAGATAATATGAAGAAACCTAATGATATTGAGTATTAAGTACCATAGTAGATTGAAATTAATAGCTTAAAAAGCAGAAATGAGAGAGATGAAATTTCATGATTGTCGAACTCGAAGCCAATACGGAGTGTTCTTGTATGAAATGTGATTGTTGGATCGAAGCTGATATCGATGTGTCGATTGTTGGCGATTAGAAAATTTTCTTTTATTTCTTGAAAAAAAAAATTCAAAAAGTGATATAATCCAAAGAAGTTATGATT